ACAAAGTCCTAGAAAAGAAGAGAGCTTCTTCGCCGTGTTTGGAGTCGGATACTTTTGTACAGCGATTATTTTTGATTCGTCTGTCTCGATTCCTTTCTGAGATATTTTGTAACCTAAATATTTTAATTCAGGGGCTGCAAATTTGCACTTTTCGACATTAACTTTTAGACCGGCCTCATTTAATAAAGAAAAAACACCTGTCTTAAATCCTGTACATGTACATGTTGGTCGAGATTATCACTAGTAATAATGATATCGTCTAAATAGATAAATGTGGACTTTCCAAGAACAGGTCTTAACACAATGTCCATACATCGCTGAAATGTTGCCGGGCCCCTGAAAGGCCAAACGGCATACGCAAAAATGCATAAGTGCCAGACTTGGTTATAAAAGCAGTCTTAGGCACGTCCTCAGGCCTAACCCCTATTTGAAAATAACCAGTCGTTAAGTCTAAAGTCGTCATATATTTGGTTGGATTTTATGTTCCTTAGAATTTCTTCAATAATAGGTAACGGATATACCGGATATTTAGTTATGGAGTTTAATTTACGGTAGTCAATTGCGAATCTCCACCTTTTTGGATGTGTCAAAGGATAGTCATTATTTTTCTTACATAAAACCACCGGGCTAGCATAACTACTTGAGATGGGCGTTATGATCTTTTTACGTAGCATATCGGTAATATGCCATTCTATTCTATAATTTTTTCCTTATTCTTATCATACCGGTATGCTTTTTGGCGAACTGGCATTGAATCTCCGGTGTCAATACTATGGTTAGTAACCTGAGTAAATCCTGGAATATCACTAAATAACGAAGCAAATTCACTTACCACTTGTCGGATTCTTCTTGCTCGTCATTAGGCAGGTGGTCAAGATTTAACATCGGCGGTTCAGCCTTTTCTTCACGAACTGGTTTCATTGTCAGCTTAAGGGACGCTTCATTAAAATCCAGCGTTGCTTGTGCCTCTGAAAGAAAATCTATTCCTAAGATTAATATGTGCTTGCAGATTCTTTACTATAAAAAACATCACCTTTACTTGTTCGTCCTTGATACGGACATACAAAGCGGTACTTTACCTATACGCACTTACATTTTCTTTCTCCTTGCGCCGCTAACACTGTCGTATTATCCGAATTATATATGCGGTATTTACGAAAATACTTCCTAAAAAAATCTTCTGCCTGCCACACAGGAACACTGCGCGCCTGTATCCAGGAGTGCGGTGGCTGGGATATTATTCACCAACACTTCAATCTTCGGAAGAGTCAAATTTTTCACCATTACTGTATTTAACTTGAAGGAAGAGGGGTTTTCGTGGCCTTCGGATTTCCGCACCCTCCCGTCAGCAGAAATCCGTTTTAGTTTAAATTATTTTTCATTTCCGTGCTTTCCTTCTTCTTTTTCCACTGGCCTTGAGACTTTTTTCCTGGATTGCTATTGAACTGTCGACGTTCGCCGGCTGTTTTTGAATGCTCGGGTTTCCTTGCCCACTGATTCGCTTTGCTCCGTAGCCGTGTGCTTGAGTTTGCTGTAGTCTTGGCGCACCAAATTGGTTTCGCTGTTGATATTGGCGTCTTCTTTCAATTCACGTCCGCCGTTCTTCTACTTTCAAACTGGATTGCTAGCTCAAATAACTTTTCCAGTGTAGTCGGATTTCTTAATTCAATAAAGTCTTGCACTTGGGGCAGTAACCTCGGCAAAATCACTTGAATTATCTCAGGATCCGGACGGTTTCCATACAAGAGTTTGAAGACGTGAATTTTTCTTAAAATAAAGCTTGAGAGATTTTCGATTCTTTGTTGATATATACTGAAAAGTTCCGTTTCTAATTTCGCACGATCCCTTACAACAGGGAAGGCTTTTAGTAGGGCAGTCTTGAAATTTTCGTAAGTATAGGTGGGACTTCCTGCTTGACCCAAGAGACTTCTGCCTATACATTTGAACCAGTTAAGCGCTTGGCCCCTCAAAGCGCTGGTAGCTAAGGTAACTTTTTGAAACTTCGTGCACGGGGTAGAGCATGAAGTGGTCATCCAATTTTTCCAAAAAAACTGGTTACCGGTGAGTTTCCATTAAATGTTGCTTCTGGTTTCATCGAAGCGCGCATGGTCTGGACGATGTAACCAAAAATCCTTCCAGGGCGGCAGCTGGCATTTCTGGATTCTGAGCCGTTTCTGCAGGCAGCACAGGTTCTTCTTGAAACTCGGCCATGGTTATTCTTCTTCGTTGGGCGCCACTATCAGGTTCAATTTCTTCGGGAACATGCAAGGACCTGACTCGGAACAGAGAGCTTACTAAAGCTATGTTCAATAACTGTGGGAAGTAGACAGGATACACAAGAAGGGTATACAAAACCCTTTATTTTTCTCTATTACAATAACTTCCGTACTTCGGAATACAAAGACCCGACCCGCTACTTGTGGTCTAACTAAAACGTAAAATATAAAAATAAAACTAAACTCTAATTTAACTTTAGAATATAAAAACGTGGAAGATTGGCCTTATATTAACAGGAAGCCGTATGTAGTACAGAGAACTGTGAACACTACAATACGTTTAAAATTTATCAAGAGGATTAAAACCTCTGGCCTGGAAGGCAACCAGCAACTGAGTAAAACTTCTAAGGTAAGCGGCCTGCTTCGACTCAACTGCTTCCTCTCTCTCTCTCTCGCTTGGCAAAAAGCCACAACTTAAATACTTGGCGTTCGCCAGACAAACTTTGCATAAAAACCTTAACGCTTATAATTCTGGCCGGAAGTAGAAAATAAGAAGTGATAGTAAAGATTTAAAATAAAATAAACGTTAGTAAAACTTAAGATCCTTACAACTACAGAGAAATACATACGACGAAGGGTAAGGATAAAGGTAGTGGAAATTGATCACAGATGTTGGTTAAAGATACTGTTATATTCAGGAATGAAATCAGAAGGAAAAGGAAAGAAAAATAAAAATAATTGGTTAGAATAAAATAAATCCTTACAATTACACTATTCTATATCAAAAAATTTAATGTCTTCTATAGTAATACTCAAAATCACTGTTTATCATGTTCTATACTAATTTTTCAAAATTATTTTATTCAATTAAAATTTCTTATCAACAATTCAAAATCTTCAACTTAAATTCAAAAATATAATTAATTATCTTAATATCCTTCTCTTAAAATAGTTAAACTACCTCGCTGCTTAAATTTTCTCACATAATTACGAATAGTTAAATCTTTTGATACCGCAAAATTTTAATTCTGTATTTTCATCAAACAAGGCTACAATTTAAGATACAATAACATGTCGAGCAAGTATTGATTTAGAAATCAATGAATAGTTAAATCTTTTGATACCGCAAAATTTTAATTCTGTATTTTCATCAAACAAGGCTATAAATTAAGATACAATAACATGTCGAACAAGTATTGATTTAGAAATCAAACAACAAAAATCAGCGTTATATTTTCAAATTTTCACAATGAAAATTTGAAAATATAACGCTGATTGTTGTTGTTTGATTTCGAAATTAATGCTACAATTTTTTTAAATAATTCAATATAGTAATAATAAGTTAAAATTTAAGAATCGGACCAATTAACATCGATTATTCGTAATATCTTCACGATTAGAGAACGCAGAAGGGAACTAATCTTCTAGCGCACAGTTTAAGCATTGATTTGATTTCAGTCCCGCACTGGCGAAGAAAAAACGTTAAGTTATTCACAAAAGAGGACGAATGAAGCTACGCATTTCGGTGACCTTCAAAACATTAAAACGATTGGGAACGTTGGCACTTTGGAAACACTCGTCAAATCATTTTATAATAAAAAGAAGATGGATTAATTTTAACGGCTGGAACTAGGTTGCATTTTTAAGCACTCGCCAGCAAATCTGTGATTCTAGTTGAATTTCGTTGCACTTATTAAGTTACCGAATATGCTGGGTTAAATTTCGAAGAATGCATTTTCCCTTTAAATATTTAAAATTGTAGCACACTTGTTGTGGAATGATTCAGTGTAGATGACTAGATGATTCCTAGCTGCGCACGCAGAAAGGCCGAGCCGTAGATGTTTTGAGGATTAGAACTGGCGTCATTAGCACATGAAGGCATTAACTAATTCTCTTCGACAATCATTGCTCCAGTTTCTATGATAATACTTCGGTGAAGCACGGGTACACATCCTGATTGACTAAAATTGTACTTGAAATAAAAAATTAAAGCCACAAAATCTAAAATTCATGTTAGATAAATCATTTGTATGATCAACCTATGTCTAGAAAATTTGGAAAACAGAAGTTACCATTGCCCCACGATAATAATTTAGAGAAACATTTTAAGACAAAAATAAGCCAGATTTAAAAAAAATCAAATTTGGAATTAAAATTATTTTAATTTAATTTGAAGGGGAGAGAATTTTGACTGCATAGAATGCTAATCCATAATGAATAGAAAACTTGGCAATTCAGGCAAATTAAATTCCAGATTTATTTGTGACCACAGTTTACTTGGCACTCTAGTTGTGCCTATTTTCAGAACATTTACATTTTTGAATACTATTACGATAGGAAGAAAACACTGCGAAATTGCATCCAAGCAGCATAGAGGGTGAAGCTGAAAGTACTCAGTTATCCAACAGGGAAGCTCACCAAGAGGAAGATTTGGTTAAGGTCAGAAATTTAGTTCCCAAAATTTTGAGTTCAGGTTCTGAAACGGATACGTGATTGGCGTTACGCCAGTCATGTGACATACATCGATCTAGAAACTATGCAGTTCTAGAAAGCTATTACTACGTAGAAAGAACCCGAATTAAAAAAGCAATTAAGAGGCCTTTTTAGATTATAATTTTTGCTTTTATACTTTTTATCGCACGTATATATATTATATATTCATATAATATATATATATATATACTATACATACATATATCCATTTTCTTCTTATAAAAGGTATTCTTTATACATAAAATGAGTATCTCAATATATGAAATTATCTTCTTTCCATTTCAGACTAGCTGTTGAAAAATTGTTTTCTGCTAAAGAGAAGAGCTGCTTGTAAATTCTTCAACGCCACTCCATCATATAATTCTTCGATTCCACGTCATCAAATCATTCTTCACCTCCTTCCCCACCCATCAAGAGAGTTTTTTACTTTAGCTAAATAGGTATGTTATTTAATCACTACGTAATTTTTTAAAAATTTATTGTATAATGACAGCTTTAAATGACAGATGTATTATCCAAATCTCATTTAGCAATTTTTTTTAATAACTCGTTAACATAAATATTGCTGGAATTCATGAACATCTGAACTGATATGTTACGATCTTACTTATCATCACATCCAAAAACAAGAATAGTTCATTATTATTACCACTGCATTCGCATTACGATCATGCATTGCATCGTTATTAGAATAACAATGCTAGAAAGAAACATAATGCCAGTAAATAATAAGTTAATCGAATCACAATAAACGATTCAATTAATCATTCTTTTCCTGCTATGAATGACATGAAACGTCTTTTAAATTCAAGTGCTTTTAAAACATTACAGCACAATTTATACAAAAGGCAAACAATGGAGTTTTATTTTTATTCGCTTTGAAAACTATAATCGAATTTAAACAGATGGATTGGCTCAATTATACGAGGGTCAGTCAAAACGTTAGTTGCACTACCTGAGAAAACAAAACAGGAGCAAAATTTTACAATAACTTTATTTATATCTTAAAGTTCTATTCAAAATGTACTTTTCAACGTAATTACCTTCATTGTTTAAGTTGATTCTTTTTCTATATGACATTAAATCGTTCGAGTTTTCATATTCTTAACAATTCATCTTTTTATCTGATTTAAAAACTCCGTAAATTCTATTTTGATAATATAGGTGAACACTGTTAAAGCATTCCTTTGATTCTGCAGATGATCTGTAATTTAAGACGAAACTTCTTTGTCCAGAACCACACTTTTTTCATGCAGAAAATCTTTATAACTAGAAATAAAAATCCAAATTGTTCTGTCTATAATTACAAAATTAATTTATAGTACTTCATTGATGAGTACGAAAATGAATGTAACATTCAAGATCTTACGAATCTTACTGATGTCACATGAATCACCCACATGAATCTTACTTGTATATGAAGAAATCATACATGTGAAAAATAATATTTAAAATTTGTACTTTTCAATAGTTTCTATAAATTTTCTGCTATACTTTAAGAATTAAATTACTGCAAAAGTTCAATGTTTTCCATACAGAACTCTGGAATTGTGTAATTTTAATTGAAAAAACTGGGATACACATATTTTGTTACCTTACAGATTAGCCATTTTGAAGATCAACTGAAAAGTAGGTTTTTGCCCCGATATTAAAATTTTGTCCAGTAATCAATCCGAATTGCTAACCGTGATTTTGAAAGCTTTAAAAGCAAATTTTTACTTAAAAATAACGAGAAGAGACTGAAAAAAAGCAAATGCTAGCTATTCTCCTTAATTTGGGAAAGAAAAATGACGTTTAGAAATGTGCCTCTTTCGCTAATGATGTTACCAACTTGAAGGTTTTAAATGGCATGACATAGAAAATATAACTGCAATTATTAGAAAGAGTAGACAATTTCGTCTTTCTGCTGTTCAAAATACTACCATTCTTATCGTAAAAAGAGAAAGATTATTTAAAAAATCTTTGAATATTACAATTTTATCTTTCTATTGTTCCAAATACTACCACTTTTATCCTAAAAAGATAAATATTACAATAGAGTTTTGTTACTAAAAACAAAATCTGAAATACTAATAATAAATTATTATTTCTGAAACATTCCAAGTATATCAAAATTATGAAACTTCCACTAGAATCAGTTGGTATGGATGCTTCCATTGAACGACTATAAAGTTTTTATGCTGTGAAATATTGAGTGCTATGAAATGTTCTTCTGTTTAACACATATCACATTTTTGTCCTGGTTAAATAAAATATATCATACACATTTCTAACAAATGAAGATGAGAAATTGTCATTTATTGCTCGACAATTTGATGATTTTTTATCATATATCATTAATTGGGCTTCATTAAAATTCTTTGCAATTATGCATGAATTTTAAGGTACCATCTAAAACAGAATCTATCTTGATGACGTTTAGAAATTTTGGAACATTGTATAAGAAGTACTTTTGTAAACTTATTGTTGCCAAACACCATTCTTTCTTACATAGACCAGAATATTTTGATTAAAATTTCTAGAGCAGATTCTACGTTACTCTCAAAACCACTTTTACTGCTAGTATATTATGCATCTTGAATCTAGTACGAGATATGGGAACTCATGTCCCGATGAACGGCTGTAGTACTTATTTTAGTCGCTAATTTCACCATTTTAAAAATTAAGGAAGGGTGGGTACTAGAGTATAATAAATCATACTTAGCAATTAAAATACATTGCTTCATATATAATTTTGCAATTTTCAATGCTGTCGAAAATATTCAGGACGTTTATATTCCTGTTAAATAAGGTACATTACTCGCACATTAATGTAGGAATTAAACCCATACATTTCCGAAAGTTGTATAAAATGCACCATAACATCCTACTTTCAGAGTCTTTAGATCATTGTACAGCCATTGATTTTATTTCGTTTGTAGGTTATGTATTCATAATTCCTTCATATTTCTAAGCTTAGTGAACAGTACAGTGATGTGCTGTAACTATGAAGTGAAATATAGTTAAAACTCACTGAACATTTAAACAGAGAATCTAAAATATACATTAACATTTCAAGCAGCTTAAAGGTAAGTATAACGCATTAATCGATGGTTCGCATGACATCCTACATTTCACAGTAGTGTTTCTCAATGCTTCCTAATACAGGGATTATTTAAATAGTTATTTATAGCTTGATTACAAAATAATAATATGTTTTGTCGAATTAATAAATGAATGAGAAATATTAAAATGAAAATTAATGAGTTAAATAATAATGATTTTTGCCATTATATTTATTCGAAAATAAACATACATATATATATATATAAAGAAAGAGAGCATTTTGTAAAAATGTGAAAACAAGGCCAGTTCTGACCTCGCGTATTTCTGTTTTTTTCACCAGTTGTTCAAAGAATACATAGAAGCTTATACTATCAAAAACAATAAAATGTTTATTCATTTAATTTAAACAATAGCAACTTTATTAATTTAGAAGTCAAACAATGAATTCAGCGTTATATTTTGCAAATTTTCACAGGACTAGTTTCGATGGTTTTATCGAAACGTCAACCTCAGCTACCAAAGTGCAAAGAGCCATTTGCAAGGAGCCATGTATATATAATTAAGCTAAAAATAAAAATTAGATCATTAAAGAGTACTACATTCTAACAGGAAATACACAATAATTCTATTTTAATCGAAACAATTAATATTTATCCAAAATATTTAAAACTTAATGAAAACAATTCCAGTAATTACGAAACGCAGTTGCTAACACCATTATCAACCATATTCTGAGAATTAAAAATATTCTGATTAATATTAAAAACATTCTGAGAATTAAAAATATTTGCATTACAGTTGAAGACATTAATCAGGAAATTCAGTGCCTAAAAATTAGACATATTATTAAACAAATTCCCCCTTAATTTTACTTATTTTTATTAACTTACTTATCCAAAAGTTATGCCTTAGGTTGTTTCAACACCTTAGGTCGAAACACGTACGGTGTCACCAGTCTATTTAATGTGACACATATTTCCCTCTGACCGTAATTTCTGAACTCCTGCGGTGTTGAGGATACTAATTTTACTAACGTTTCTTTCTGGCTATTTTTAAACTTATTGTGCTTTCTCCCTTTTCAGATAATTTAAAAGTTTTAAGTTCTTGATCAACGAATTCCCATACGTGTACAGCGTTATTGAGCTAACAATTTTATAGCAGATGGCACAAGATTTCAAACACTCCCATTGCTTCTTGCTTCTGCTTTTGACAGATATTTTACAGAAATTAGAGATGTGCTTCAAATAGATGACAAGCTTCAGAGATGTGCTTGTTCATAATAAAATATTTACCCAGTACTTAGAAGACTAATTGTTACATCATGATTAAACAAGAATTTTATGAATGTTCTGTTCCATTTTTTCCATAAATATTGCATAAAGATTTTACTTTCTGATCAGTAAAACCCAAAACGAGAGTACCCACATATTTGTTTTTTAACGATCTACACCTTCCATTTTTCTTCAACTAATACAAGTGCAAAATTTGTCCACAGTACTTTCATCTATTATTCGACTACCCAATCTCTATAGTTTCTAACACACTCTAAGCGTTCTATTACTTTAGGATTACGTGGGAATGTTTACTTGGCTGCAAGTTCTCCAAATAATCCATTTTCACAGAATCTCCTTGAACAGAAGAGATAAACAGTTTTCCATTTTCTGAATGAGATTTGTTAATTCTGGAGTTGTATTTGCCTCTCTCAGTGTGTGTGTGCGATTATAGCAAAGCCTCGAGGGTTATCTGCCTAAAGGGAGGAATGCCTTCGTGGAGGACTTTTTTACGGGAAACTGGCTCGTATACACGTTACACATGGGGAAAACCACGAAAACGCACGCCCATGCAGCCAGCCCGTTCGCGAGATTCGAACCTCGGGCCGAACTACCAGTGTTCAGCGACTTTACCGCTCGGCCGCCGGTGGGTGCCTTTCTGAGACTATTTAATCGAAGAAATATAACATTATCATTCTTGAACTATTTCAGATGTTCTTTTATTCTTGTTTTAAATTTCTGCTCTTTCTTGTCAGCATCTTTCAAAGGGTTATTTCTCCTCTGTTTAGCAGACTTTCCAGTGAACGTAGCATTTGAATTACTTCAAATTGTTATATTGCAAACTTATTCAATCAAAATAAATGTATGGAAAAATTAAATTGAAAATTGTTATATTGACGAATTAAGAAAAACAATTTAGTTGCTTTCAAATTTTCATAAATAAAAATCATCAAACATTGTTTCTTAAATCTCAGATGTAAGGGTGAGGAGATGCAGCAATTACGTTTTGTTACTTACCTTAAATCGGGTTACAAATATCTGGGATTCAAAAAAAAAAAAAAAAAAAAAACAAATTTAAATACAAGTAAAATTATAAAGAAAATGAAAAGTTTGTTTTCTCACTT